GATATATACAGCGATCAGAAATTAATTTCTCTGGAGATTAAAAAGCTGAACTATTAGTTAATTAAATACCTACTAATTATATTTCAGTAGATCGGTTTGTTAACATCTAAATGAACGTAACCACTCAAACTAAGAGAGCCGCTGACATTTTCATGTATGCGGCGAAGGTACTCAGGGCAGGAGTTTTGGTATTTGTTTTTTCCTTACAGTTGTTATCAGTCGAGTGCTTCCACGGCTCCACTGGCATTACTATCTTCTACAAGCTGGTATCTAGTAGTCATTAGTATAATCTACACCATTTTTCAAAATAGTGACAGCATAGCTAATAGCTAAAAGCCCATGCACGTGCTTTGCGGGTATTTCACCACCGCTTCACGCAGCTGCGGGGGTTTGGCTCAACAGTTGGTCCTCAGTATTCTCTGTGTACGTTCTGGGATATATCGCGGTAAGGATAGTTTTATGTCATTATCAACCCCTTGTTTACTTTGCATAAATACTTATGTCGTAGTTGTAAATAGCTTTGGTTTTACTATTCACCACAACCATTCGACCCAGCCCATCCACATATTACAATGCACATACCTACAGATATATTTAATGGCATACGGCAATTTTTATAGGCTGGGTTTTCTTACTCCCTACACATGTACGACACAGTCCACGGACATATTGCATTGCATCCCCTACGGAAATATTTAGTGACAGAAAGACAGAATTTACGGTGAAGTTATAATCGCATTTTCAATTCATAATATATTATTAACACCATTAATGGTCTTCTAAACTTTAATTTACAATTACGTTATTTCCTCAGGAAGTAAGTTACCAGCTTTCCGGTTGAACAGTGAGATTCGAGTTTTCGGATCCGATTAAGGTTCGAAAATTTAGACTAAAGTCTGATTCGTTTAGCATTCGATTTTTGAACATTCGGATTCGATTCGACTCCGAATTTTCGCAAATTCCTTTTTTTTATTTTTCAGTTATCACGCGCCTGTTCGTTGTACGTATTGGCTTATTATAATAATTCTATCTACTACTTCCTACTTTTTACGCAAACTTTTTCTATATATTCCCTACTGTGCAATATAATGTTCCATCCACAAAACTTATATTACCATCGGTCTCGTATGACCGAATTCTGGGGCTTTTGGTTGCTCTTGTGATGTTATTAAGCAACTTTTTTTTCCAATATTCAGCTTTTTCCTTTTCTCGGAAATCAATTCTTCACTCGGCTTAAATCGATTTATATTTAAGAGTCTACAACTGCCAGTTTTCTGACAGTTGTTTTTTTCTATCACGTTACAACCATGCCCTGTCGCTGTACTTCCTTGTAGCCTCTGTACGCACCAGATGGAGTTCAAGACGGAGTTCAAGGCGGAGATTTTCGGCCCATGCAAGGAGCACTAGCGCGGCTAGTTGTCCCACACCAAACCTACCTAATGGGACACCTGAGAACACCACCGCCGCCGAGGGCAAAATCCCCGGTTCCGCCAGGCCGGAAAGCGTAGACCGGAAACTTGAAGAGCCGACGGACAATGAGACGCGTTTTGTCACTCAGAGCACTGTCGGCGGCCCAGTTGGTCGATGTCAGTGGGTTGATATGCCCGAGGTTGCCAAACGCGGATTAGCTCGAAATTTGACGCCTGAGCAACGCTCTCTGTTAGAGGTAACGCAAAAGGCTGGTCTTAATTTATTGATCTGTTTAATGAGGACGTGTTGACCATATGGACTAATCAGAGCTGACGAGAAATCGATAACCACGGTAACCGCGTGGCAGCTCTCGTACGATAAAAATCATGGGAATGGAGGCATTCCTAACACTGACTGAACTCCTTTAACTTGAACCATCATTTGCACAAACATTCGTTTTCAGAAATTCTTAATCGGGTTTACACATTTAAATAGAAACTGGGAGTATGAGAGCTGCACAATGTCCTCTGCGTGACAGAGCATAACACCGACACCAAAGCTCTGCTCCGGAATTTTAACATTTCGCATCTTTCAACTTTTCAATTTTCTTAGAAATTAATTTTTACACTTGGTGCAGATCAGTGCATTCAAGGTCTATAGGCATAGGCCAAAATCCATCAGCCAATTTGGCCTAATCGCGTGATATTCACAAGCTTCCAACAGGCAGGTAATAGTAGTATAACGTTTTTAATTATTTGCCCTACTGATAACAAAGGTACGAGCTAAAGGTCCAGACACGGGTTTCGCCGGTATTCTGCCGCTGCTCGAGACAGCTGCGGGAAGTCCAGCCAATTAGTGGGTCTTTGCTTATGCAACTTGAATATACTGATCAGCGCCAAGTTCAAAAATTATGTTCTGAGGAATTTAAAAAGCTAAAATTGCAATCTGGTGCATGAGCCGCAAAACATAAAGGGAATGCTGGGGAACGCACTGATAAATCGGTATCTTAAGTAGTGGCAGAATACCGTCAAATCACGTGTCGGGGCTTCTGGCAGGCAACTTTGCTGCCACTATAGTAAAAACTTCCACAGTTAACATTCGTCGGTCAAAGCTTTCTTAGAACTTGAATCGAATAACGAATCCTTACCCTTCTACACAGACAAGGTTTCGATTTCAAGCTCTTTGCGCTCACGAGGTTTTTAGTCTCTACCTTAGTGTAGAAGA